ATTTGTTTTTTCATTATTAGGCCAGAAATATAAGTAGCAACCCTCGTAGCAACTGCTTTTTGGGGTGTGCATGGAAGATTGTTCGACTATCTGGAAAAAAGAAAAACAATCACAGAAAAATATGCATCATTATTGAACCAATTTAATGATGCAATCAAAGATAAATATCCCTATATAAAAGAAAAAAGTGCTTTTTCATCAGGATAATGCACCAGCTCACACGTCTGCAGTTTCAATGACCAAATTGCATGAAGTACGTTTCGAATTAGTTGACCATCCACTATATTTTCCAGATTTAATTCTTTGTGATTTTTTCCTATTTCCAGATTTGAAAAAATAGTTGGCTGACAAGAAATCATATCTGACGGTTGTCATAGATGGTGAAAGGTTCCCATAGACGGCACCCAATTTCCTTTTTATTTCTTCACACGTTTCTCCATCCAAAAATAAAAAGCGAATCACGGATTGATATTGTTCTTTTTCCATTGTATCGAGAAACATGAAACACGATCACTATGAATTGCTCTCAAATCAAAACTATCGCATGAATCACTGTGAAATTTTGTACAGCGTCGTTTGAAAGATAGTAGTACAGGAAGATATTGCCAAATTGCATCAGCAACGCCGTCTGTCTTCAAACACGAATACTTATTGATTTGCTCTCGTATTTGCTACAGTTTTAGCTGCAGCAATTGCCCGACAATAGACTCTGTTGCATATCTGGCGGCAATTTAGCAGTAGGATGTGATATAACAAATCCTGTATCAAATTTGTTGCCTATTTGCCAACAAAAGTTGGTAGCAGGTTTTATTCGAAATCTGCTCACACAGGTTAAGCTATCTGGGAATACACCCAATAATCAATTTGTTAGCAGATTGCTAGATTGCTTACTGGATACATATGCACAATCTAAAATAACTATCTCTTAATATTTACCTCTTGCAAAAACATGGTAAAATCGTTATATCGCTTGCAAATTTCAGCCCATACAAGTTCCTTTTCATTAAGTGTTGAAGAATCACTTTTCTTAACCTCAATGATATGCTTAACTTCTTTTAATATTTCTAAGAAAAGTTTTCTTTCTATTGTTGTATAATGTTTATTTTTGGACATCTTCAAAATTCTTAATTTTAACAATTTTAAACTTAAACGACTACGAACAAATACAAACTTCTTAAGTCTTGTTGCTGATTATAGGTTGAGCGTATCCGAGTTTCCTTTTACATACGAATATTTTGATACCGATATCTCTTCTTACTGGTTAATGCCTACTTTAGTTTAAAGAAAGGATCATTTTCATTGGTTGGCCAAAAAGAAATAATATGGAATTAGCCGAATAATCAATAAGTATCACCTTAAGCACATCTTCGCAAAAACAGTTTTAAATAGAATAAGAATTCTTTAGACAAGAACTTTTTCGCTAAGATTATCTTAATACATATTTATGAATTATATCGATCTGAAGGCAGTCATTCAAAGGATGATCTTGATCTTAATCTTTAGATGCTCTACGGCTGATTTTATTGGCTACAAAGCATCTATCGATAAACTTAAAACGATCTTAAATGTAAGATCAGTTTATGAATATCGGTTTTAATATCGGCTTTAAATATGAGCCTGACTAGGAATGAGTAAAATCATCGATGTTTTTTCCAAATATCAATTTCCCTCATTGAGGATGGTATTACATCTAGAAAAAATGTTAGGGACTCTAGAATTGCTCTATCCGATAGCCAATCGATAAACCCGCACGACACATTCTGAATAAGGGAACATCAATATTTTTCTAACACATTGATGAGTTTGCCCATCCCTAATTCAATTATTGGCATTTTCGATTTGCTAATTCTACCCGACTTAAAATCATCGTACTATATTCTAATCTAATTTTCAGAAATGCACCAATCGAAAATGCCATGTGAATAGCGGCCTATGAATACCAGCCATAGTATATATGCACATTTGCGAAAGTTAACCTGAAAATGGCAGAACCAATCAGAGTAGAGAACATTTTCCGCTGTACTCTCTCTCGATTCTCTCTCCTGAAATACACCCTATGATTTTCGTTTGCGTCCATTTTTCTTTACGACCGGACGAGTCGTGAGGACTGTCTGATTTGTTCACGTTTTATACGTAAAACGTGGAAAATTTACAAGATGGTAAGGAATTTCGATATATTATAAATAATAATCGATCCCGAGCTGTCGCAATCTGCTTTTTTATCTATTTGACGCTTACTGGTGAATATTTCATTGGGAAAGTCGCGTTTCAGGTAGATTATGGGTTAGAATATCACACGTGGACGCTTCCGACATTTTGTTAAATACATTACGGTTTTATCATTTTACACAATTTTTTATTAACTTGAAATCTTAATCTTTATTGATTCAAAATCTTAATTCCTTATTTGTCATAAAAATCTCTATAAACGAGGTTCCAACTTTTTATTATTAGTGCAATACATTACAGCTGTTTGCAGAGAAATGAATACGTTTTTTTTATGACTATTGCATTTGTCTGTACTTCAAAGTGAAATAGTCATATATTCAACGCTAAGTGGAAAAAAAAATAGATTGGAAGATGATTCAGAAAATGCAGCTATAAAGAATGGACCTGTCTGATGCTTAATATAAATTTCTTCTTTTAGTCTTTATCAACAGCACGACCACTTATAACAGTATATACTGACAAGAATGAGGCATCGGATAACACAATTTCCCTGCCCTCTATTTTTAAAGCTCCAATTCGGCCTGATATTGTGAACTTTGTTCATCAACAAATATCTAAAAACAGTAGGCAGCCTTACTGTGTATCGAAAGAAGCAGGTAGGTAATACACAACATATACAATCTCAAAATTGCAGATTTTTATATGAGATGTAAATGTTACGTAATAACAGGATTGGAAAGCCACTTTTGCAAAGTAACTTGTTATAATTAATCATGAAGTAACATGTTCGTACAATTCTTGTCATTTTCTTTACCATGTTTTCAAGATATTTTTTCTGATTATTTCATTATGAAATATTTTGATATTCGATTGATTCTATTGATTTATATTTGTTATTGTTATTAAAAAAAATGTAATTATAGTTTCTGACGAAGAAAATATTACCAAAATATTATCAAAAATATAGTTATGGGAACAATTTTATAAGTAATAAGTTACTTCCTAACTCTATGCAATGATGCATCTGAATCATGATGATACAAATTTGGTCTGTGTTTCTGAGCAAACAGTGATTAATACAACTACACGACTGATACATTATTGATTTTAATTTTGTGTAATTATTTGTGTGATATGCTGGATATAAAATTAAATATAATTTTTATTTCTCAGGCCACCAAACTTCTGCTGAGTCATGGGGTACTGGACGTGCTGTGGCACGTATACCTCGTGTGCGTGGAGGTGGTACTCATCGTTCTGGACAGGGTGCCTTTGGAAACATGTGTAGAGGTGGGCGCATGTTTGCACCCACCAAGCCATGGCGACGTTGGCATCGTCGTATCAACATTAACCAGAAGCGTTATGCTCTTGTGTCAGCTATTGCCGCTTCTGGTGTACCTGCTCTTGTTCAGTCCAAAGGTATGTACTTTGCAAATAACATTCTTATGTATTTTTTATATTGATTATACTGATTTGTTATTGATTATTTTTCAGTAACATAATTTATAGCGATTTATATATTTCCCATATATTGTAATATATTGTCTTTTATTATTTATATATTTATTATATAGGGCACATGATTCAAGAAGTCCCCGAATTTCCTTTGGTTGTTTCTGACAAAATAGAGACGTATAATAAAACTAAACAAGCTGTAATTTTCCTGCGACGTATCAAGGCCTGGAATGATATCCAGAAGGTAAATTTACGTTATCAACGCGTACGCCAATGTTGTCAGAGAAAGATTGTATTCAGGTGTTCTTGTTTAAATAATTCAAAAAGAAACATAAATTATCAAATATGGAGGAATTTTTTTGTTTAATTTTAAATTTCAATCATCCGCATGTGCTATAAAATACATACTATTTATTACATATATTTTTATTTTTTTTATAAATTACAAATACATTTTAGGTGTATAAATCGCAAAGATTCCGCGCAGGAAAGGGTAAAATGCGTAATCGCCGACGTATTCAGCGACGTGGACCACTGATTGTCTACGGAAAAGACGAGGTAAATTATTTTCTTTTAAAGTAAATATTCCGCAGAATCGCTGCCTACGAGTATGATTGTAATGTCGTTTTTAGGGAATATGTAAGGCATTTCGCAACATCCCTGGCGTCGATCTGATGAACATCAGCAAGATGAACCTCCTAAAAATGGCACCTGGTGGTCATGTTGGCCGTTTCGTCATTTGGACGAAATCGGCATTTGAACAGTTGGACGCTCTTTACGGTACTTGGCGCAAGGAGTCGCAACTTAAGAAAGGATATAATCTGCCATTCCCCAAGATGGCCAATACGGATTTGTCTAGACTCTTGAAATCTGAAGAAATTCGTAAAGTTCTAAGAGCTCCTAGGTAACCGTACACGATTATTTTTAAATGACCTTTTTTTTATATCCTGCTCCTCCACCCAAGTAATATCTCAGAATCATGATAGTGTTAATTTAGCCCGTGTTGCTATTCAGAGATATTGATATACATCCTATAACCATGTAGCTGATCTATTATATTAACGATTTCGCGTGGTTATTCGTAAAATGTGTTATACTTAAAAAAAAATAATGCAATTGTAGGAAGAAAGTGGTACGTAAGGTTAAGAAGCTTAATCCGTTGGCCAACACTCGAGCTATGTTACGTCTTAACCCGTATGCGGCGGTTCTGAAGCGTGCTGCGATCTTAACGGCGCAAAAGCGTCAGTATGAGAAAGATATTCTTCTGGCTGAAAAGCGAGGCGTGAGTGTTGCATCTTGCTGGTAACTTCGCAAGTAATTAACTATGATACGTGGTGTTGAATTTGAGACATTTCGTATTTCAGGTTGATTTGCCGAAGAATTCACCAACTATGAAGATCAAGAAACTTCAGGAAAGAAGGAAGAAGCAGCTTATAGCTGCCAAAGCGGCTAAATTAAAGAAACCGACCACCACAAAAAAAACTGCTCGGGCACAAATTAAAGATGAAAAGGATGTCACGGCAACGAAGACTGTTGCACCGAAACAACAGAAGAAATAAACAATTGTGTAACTTCCGAAAATAATTTCAAATGCTTTTAAGTTACACAAAATAAAATTAAACAGAGAAGACCTATGTCACATTTAATATGTCACTCTTTTATAACTAATAAAATCAGTGAATGTGTGCACGTGATGTAATGAATTCTGCAAGACAGTCTGAAGAGATGTGTTTTAGACTTAGCGACTTTTTCCTAATAATGATAAATATTGGATGACTGTGACTACGTCAACGGTTAATCCAGTTTAGTAACTATCGTAGTTAGCGAATTCTTGTATTTAATTGGAATATATTTTTAGATCTGAAAGGATATACCGATCAGATGCAAGAGTTCGCTAACTACAGTTGTTACTAAACCGGATTAACATTGCCGTGTAAACGCATAAACTTATTATATTGCTAGATATGTGCTTCCTTATGGGTGCACTGAAGACGATATTGAAGGATATTGTGTGAATTATGCTCTTTCTTTCTCGCTTTGTTAAAAGAGGGGAGAAGATGACTACAAAAAGAAGGATAACGTCATAAGAGTGATTGAATATCATTACTCCCAAATTCCACCTTGCATATGCAACAATATCACCACTTTCAAGTATCTGATGTTATAATCTTTCATATTAATATTCTGATTTGCGAACAATCGTCAATAGTAGCAGCTGTTCTCTTTATTTCCCACATGAATGGGCACGTTAGACAAAGATACGCTCAGGCCGGAAAGAAACCTGAGAGCGGCCACGCCAGCGTTTTCCTTGATATCGCTTTACTCACAACTGTTTAATATGCCCTCTGTATCTACTTTTAACATTGGAACTATTTCGCTATATTCACTTTCTAGTATGATGCCGATGTTTCGTTTAGTGCGTGTCCGTGCTGGGTCCACAATTTCCGTGGTTGAGAAACGCGGTAACATCTTAAAGCATATACTACTGGAGGTAGCACGTCTCGATAAAAGTGTGGTCAGGGT